AACATCAGGTGCTTCACGAACATTATTTTATCACCCACCTAACTTTGAACGGTATATAACTTCCAATTAGAAGAAGAAATATCTGATTGAAAGCAAAGAAAATGCATCCCTTCAGATACTAGGTGATGTCATTGAAATAGTGTGAAAAAGTTTCACCTATAGATAATAATAGGTACGTACTTATAAATAATATGGAAAAAAGTTACCGCCAGAATGACCTCTCGTAAGAGAGACTGATCAAAAAAACCGTTGATATTACGAATTAGAAGATTCTTTGCAAAATATGTTTTGCCATTTTTATGTTGAAAGTGGGAGCAGATTCGTTTTCAAAACATACAAAAATGAGTAAAACTTTTAAATTCTCCAATATTTTTATATTATTATTCGTCGAATAACGTATTCCATATCGTCTCATTTTTTTTAACTTAGAGACATTTTTGGGCCAATTATCTGATTTGTCCTCATCATAAATATATATTGAATGGATACTAATATTTCTATTTATAGAAACTAGGAGAAATTTTTCGAAACTCATAAATGAACTGTATATCAGAAAAAGGCACTGGAAACTCAGGGCCTGTTTTCATGAAGCATTTGATAGACAAATTTATATTCAATTTGTTTTATATTCATGGCAGCGTATAATGTGTCTTGTTTGTTGATGATTCCTCTTCAAAGTACATTATTCATAAACCCAATGAAAAACCTGCTCATTCGAAAAGTTGTCGAAAAAGTTGTTTAGTATGAAATTCTACTCATATAGGGTAGAATTTCATTAAATGTGTCGATCAGTTTGAAAAAAAATGTATCTATATTTCGTATTTTTCCCCAATATTTTTATGACAATTTCCCATCATGAAATTCCAATATAACATCACTTTCATCACAATAAAAATCCAATAATTCATTAATCACCTACAAATAAAATATATGAATTCTCTATAAAATTTCTGAAAACCATATTCTGAAAGATAACAAAACTAGAAACATACATTTGGGATTTCTAAAACTATATTCTTGAGTATAATATTCATGTCTTTGATTTTCTTAGATCATCCTAAATCAATTCAAGAACATAAATATTCAACAGTCTCTAGAAGAAACAACATTATATGTACTATGTATATGATTTAAAAATGTTTATCTGATTATCTAATTCAATTTTTTTTAGTTGCTCTTCTATATTTTTTGGGAATAATAAAGGTTATTAATATTATTATTATCATTATCATAATCATTTTTATTATTTTTATTATATATCATACCGTTAGTTCACCCTATTCGTAATATTGTCTATATTCTTTTTCTCAAACTCAGTATACACTATAATACTAAAATCTCAAATGCATGTTTTCCTGAAATTTGAGTGAAAATAAAATATTCTCGAATATATGTAGCTCTTGTACCTCTTCATTATAACAAATAGGAATGTACCACGTCTGCATTAGAAAATGAAAGAGATATTTTATATTTTTATTCACCAAATGAGGTGGCAAATGTTAGTATGTATGATGAGTTAATTTCAATGTTTCCATAGAACTTAAGATAATCGAACTAAAACGGAACAGATAGAGACAGGTAGCATAAAAGCCTCAATACTCACCATGATCAATAAAATAAATAGGTATCATTAGGATTCCCATCGTATTTCTGGAATAATATCCCTAAATCATGTGTAACGGTGACCTACACTTAGAGTTACTTTGCCGACACCTCACTTGAACAAAATTACAAACCAAACTATTCGATTGACCTGGACTTGAATTACATTTCTACTACCCATACATACTCTAGTAAATTTCATCATCCTTCGATCAATTTATTCAATTTGTGAACTCTCAACGTAATACTATGCTGTGGATATGGTTAGAATATCGACCTGAGTACCTGAGGTATGGATTGATGCATTGATAATAAACTGATCAGCATATCAAGCGATATGCCCGATGTCAAGGAGAGAAGAGTTTTCAAAATAGTGATGTGAATTTATCAATATTTCTATTACGGTTCCAAAGAAGCCATGACTTGCATGGATATATAAAATGCTCACTTATAATATCACGAGAGCTTCAATTATTCCCAGAAACTATTTCGAGAACACGAATTTTCTAAATATTCGTGTTCAAGAAAAAAATCCTGGATATTAATTGAAGCTTAAGTGGTATTCGGTAAGAAAATTTCACTTAAATATTATATTGCAAGTATACCTACATAACATTATATGGTTAAATGTTGATGAATGATTTTTTGACTTATAGAATGAACTCGAAATAATCTGAAGTTGAATGTAAATGAATAAACGTCAAAAAATTTCCAGTGTAATTTCATGCCCTGTCCCCCAATGAGGAGGAAAAAATTCCAAGAAATTGGCTTAGTTGGTATGGTAACGATACGAAATACAGGCTTTAAATTGATCGGAAATGTTTGGTGTGAAATGTTCATTGATAATTTTTCAGTACAGTTCATTTTAATCAAGTATAATATACCAGCTCAATATCCTCAGGAGACCAGCTTAGCTTCGTGGTTTGAGCATCAGTATTCAATTCACGATGGATTTCCTGTTGGTGGGTTCGATTCCCACGACTGCAGAGTTTTTCTGATGGAAAGTGTTCGGGATCACACGATGACGGATAAGAACTTTTATTTGTTTTTCTAGAACAATATCGTATCTGCATCGTAGCGATATTGACGTCAGAAATAATTAGAAAATTGAATTTTTATGATATTTTAATGAAGTGTACCTTCTCTTGGAGGTAATGTTGAACTCGATTGAGATTTCAGACGTTCACTAGGTACTTCATATTCCAACCACAATATAAGGACTGTACAAAGTGACATAAGGTGTTATTAGTTGCGTTTTATTTATCCGTTTCTGCCACCGGAATCACTTTGATGTGTCGTTTTATTTGCAACTATTCAGATTCCGGTTGCTAGTTTTCATTCCGCCTCACTACAAGGAATGACGTGGAATGACAGTGGTCAAAAAATGGACTTGGATTAACAAGAAACGAAACTTTTTGAAAGTAGACGACGTTTACAAGACATTTTTATCGTGAGGTTCACAAGTTTATGATTCTTTCAAGTAACACAGGTTCCATATCTTCATTCCTAGATAAAATGAATTTTCTCGTTCTCAGAAAACTTTTTCCAATCACCACAATCACTGCTTCAAATATGTGATGATTCATTTTATCAATTTTCCTGATTTCTGAATCTAGTACATATTATGATATTCAAATTATTCTGAGCCCGAATATATGAATATAAACTCTATCATCTTTTTTTTATGTTCTTGTTCGCACGAGAAGGGATATCCTGTATTGTTCTGAGAACATCGTGAGAACCAAGGGAAATAGGAAAGGAATTGGTGTTCTTCTTAAATGTCTACTGGTTATATGCCTCGGGGAACACTTCCCTTGGCAATGTGTTCCAGATCCTCGCTGTTCGTTGGATGAACGAGTCTTTGGACAGAGATGTTCTGCAGATCTCCAAAGTGACCACGAAGGGGTACGAAGCCTCAACTCGGCGAGTTAATCTCGCGGGGACTGCCAAGGGAAGAACAATTGTTGATATTTCAGAAGGGCATCATAAGTTTCACACTTATATATAATATGTAATAACTATCTCAATGAGCTAATGGTATTTCAACGATAATAATTAGATTAACCCATAGAAAATGATTGACTATTTACATTGAACGATATCGTCTTCCAAATTTGGAGTAATATGAGAATATTTTTGAAACATCACAGCTATCTGAAAATATTGATCATATTCTTCATGAATAACTCTTTCTCGACTATTTATTTATGGTATATCAATTCCAGATGTTCAGTTTCCATGAATTTTAACCAATGAAATCACTATAAGACCATCATAATATTTTCTATCAGCATTCTGATTTGAGTAGGTGTGATTGAAACAATGGAAATAAAGATAGAATCGAAGTTTATGATACTACTTCAAAATTGATCTTATTTTTATGGTGATATTTCTATAATTTGCCTGCAAAGTTTCTCTTCGGAAAATTGAATACTCAATCCAAATGAATTGAAAAGTCATTATTCAAATGAATGATTTTAAGACTGGCAAAAGGTGAGTTTCTAATCATATACATTCGAGATGAGATCTGTTATAGATGTAGAAAAAAATTTCATCATCATTCTGGAATATATTGCCTATATTATGATGAGTCAAAACTATGAATAAATGATATATAACATTTTTTTATTCTTATCATAATATGTAGGATGTTTCATAATATATTAGAATCACTTCAATAGGTGAAAGAGCTGCTCAAAAAATATACTCCTTTTTTCAAAGGCGATAAATTTAGGGTTCGTTCAAGAGATACAAGGTATTCAATATGAAAATAATAAATAGATTTAATTGAAAACCGCCCAACAGAAGTTCGTGGTACTTCAGAGAATCACTTAGTCAATGTTGAACTCCATCACAAATTGAAAGAAATCAACAGAATCCCCAATTTATATTGTATGTATAATTATATGAACCCAAAAACTTGAAATTACTGAAGTGCGCAGGCTATTACAGTAAAGTTTAGTTGTCAATCTGTACGCGTAATATATTATGTCTTCAATCCAATTGATTTGAAATTATGTTGATATTTCTATATATTGACCAAATAAACATATTGAGTTGAAACAAGTTGTTCGTGAATTGTGCAAAAAGGGTATTGAGGAAATCAAATTAATGGAATGAGATAATCAAAACTCATTCATGTAATTTTTTCGAAGAATATTCAATTTTTCGCAATAAGATACTATTTATCCATAGTATGTCAAAAAGTGAACATTGATAAATATCTGGTGCTTGAGTGAAGTTTCAGTTCATATGGAAGCAAACTAAAAAATGTTGAGTTCCTATGCCAAATTGAGGAGGATCGTTACGCAGATCCATAGTCGAGTACAAAACATTTGGAGAAGTTTGTTGGAAATAGAAAAAATTGGGTGATGAATCAAAATTTAAAAACTCCCTACCTCTCCCTGATGGTCTCGAAGTAATCGGCAATGTAGTCAACAGCGGCTTTGCCAAACTCCCTGAATTCTTGTGAGTCCATGGTACAAACTCAAAAATCACTTTCTCCTCTCGGACCAACCGACACCAAACAAATCTCTGCCCACTTTCACACACTCTCGGATCTTATTGTTTCTCGATTGTTTCTCGACTGCTACCAACACTGTCGTAGCTCACTTCAGTTGGAGGAGGATTTGAATAAAAGCGAGAATAAAACTCGGTATACGACCGATTCTCTTTTTATAGACAACGTGAGGTGCCCTTCATAGAACAATTGGCAGGTCTTGACTAATGGAGATGCCGTCCAAGATGACATTTAAATACATTTTTGTCGTCTTTGTTTTCGGTTAACGAGTGGTAGGCTGGACCTTGACATTGGTAATGGGTGGAAGCCAAACTCTGACCTCGATGGGATTCCAGAACTGACTTTTTTCGATCTTGTGGTGAATTCAATGCTGAACTTTCTATTCGATTTGTTCTGGAGTCAAACAAAAAGATCAATTCGAGAGACCATTATATAGTTTGTTGTTTCTTTATTTGGTCGAATCATTAAATCTCACTCATACGTATCAGAATTACCGACTGAAGTAAAATTTTAAAAGCTCAGCTAGTACCAACTATGATGTCCATCATGCAAAGGAAGCAATTTTGAACCAATGATGCCTTATTAACATTGAAGACCACAGGGGAAAAACGGGAGAATGTTACAATATACTGGAAATTGACTTGACATCGCCATCTGATAGCCTCACCCAAATTTATCGTCAAAAATCACTACAATTTCTGACACTGTGAAAGATCACTCAAGTGTTCTATCTATGTTCCTAATTCCAACGAATAATTCAGAAATTGAGAATATCATTGATAATCTGGATGTTCGAAAATGCTGTGGATTTGATTATATTACTGTTGAGATTGTAAAAGTAATCAAATTTGAGTTAGCTCCTATTTTGTTAAAACTGGTATAATTCCTGACAAAATGAAAATTGATGGAGTATTACCAATTCACAAAAATGGAAAGAAAGATGATTTGAATAATTATAGATGAATTTCTGTTCTCCCGACCTTTTCCAAAATTTCAGAAAAAATTATGAATAACCGTCCAATACATTATCTTGAAAATAATGGCCTATTGTTTAGTAAATTGCAGATTGCAGATATTCAGTTACGAATAGATGACAATCACAAATGCGGCATTCTGTCTCTGGATCTGTGTAAGGCCTTTGACACTGTATAATATTTTATTGACTAAATTATCATCAATATAGGTGTCAGAGGCAAAATTCATGATTGGTTTCAAAATTATTTCAAGAATAGGAAACAGTATGTTGATGTGAATAATACTTGTAGTTCCTTGATAAATATTACATGTGGTGTACCGCAAGGGTCAGTTTTGGGACCAATTTTATTTTTAATTTATATTAACTCAATATCTACTTTAAAATTGGAAGGGCAACTAGAATTATTTGCACATCTACACTTCAAAAGATTTTAACGATATCAATAATGATATTAAAAATGATTTGAAACAAATATCATCTCGGCTAACGACCAATAAGTTGACTCTTAATCATAGCAAATCTACGTATATATACATCTCAAAAAAACAACGGATTGAATAATACCCCAATATGTTTCAATAACATATCCATTGAATATACAAATGTAACAAAATTTTTAGGTCTTTATATTGATGAACAATTATCGTGGACTCTACATATAGATCAATTGAGGAAAAAATGAATCCTATTGCTGGTATTATATATAAAATCCGAAATGTCATTCCTGTTAGATACCGAAAGAGTATTTATTTCTGTCTTTTTCATTCAAATATACAATATCTATTATATCTATTTGGGGAAGTACAAATATTTCACGTTTGAAGCCACTCATGAAATCAACTGTGAATCTATACAAACCTGAAGACTTGCTGAATCTAGTTTCATTATATAAACTAAAAATTTGTTGTTTTATTCAATTTATCAGGAAGGAATTGAAAATATCGAATTTGAATTTTAATGAAGTTAATACGACTCACGCCCATGAAACAAGGCAATTTAATTTATTGACAGCAAATAATTATAAGTCAAATTTTGGTAAACGATCAATATTTCATAATGGAATAATTTTATATAACTCCTTACCTAGAGTTGAAAAATATAGAAGAAGCAGAAAAATTCAAAATCGAATTAAAGAAATATCTGCTCAGTAAACTTCAATTCCATATCTACTATAACCATTGTCGATTTAAATGAAAACCTTGTAGACGACCTAGTGCGAGGAGGTATAATACCTGCCTACTAACTACCTAACTAGGTTGTCATCTAGAACGACAATATGGCCTAACCACTATATTTTAGTATAAACAGAAGTCCATAGTAATAACGCAGCATAGTCAGCTGACATGCTCGTTCGAAAATACGTTCACATGGAAAAAACGCGGAATGATCACTTCAAAAATATGAAGAAAGGGGAACGTCCAAGCTTAGTGCTTGCTTGAATACATCAGATTCCATTGTGATTTTAATATAGGTTGTTTTCACACTGTCAAAAGGTCAAAGTGAACTCAGGCAAACAATATTTGAGGAAAAAAAAGCGATACGGCCACATGTTCTTCATCTCTCGGGACATATTGTGGGTACATAGGGAGGATAGGGAGAAGAAGTAGGTATCGGGATTTTCCTCAACTTTCGGTGATTATAAGTTCTTGGGAATACTCTGTTGGACGAAAAATTCGAAAGCTTTGCTGTTCTATGTATGAACGAGTTTTGGTAAAGAGTTGTTTGACATATTTTGGGGTTGATGACAAAAATGTGTGTTGACTGGGCTTTTCGAGTACGTCTGAGTGATGGGAATAAAATAATGATATGATATCTCGTAGAATTGATAGAAAATGATCAAATTATAGCGATGCTATCTGTACTATATGACAACTTACCGCTCATCAGGTGGTCAGGCAAGAATGGAAATATGTACCAGAGCAGATAATTGCGAGTAAACAATGGATTGTTTACTCGCAATTATCTGCTGGAGTTTTTTGACAATTTATTTGGACATTCCCCGTTCTTCTTTTGAATCTTTGGACTCATTTTTTGTTTTCGATGATTTTGCCATTCAAATATAATCTCTATTTCTATTTGTCCTACTTTATTGCTCATTATACTCCATCAAATGAACCCAGGTGGTTTGATTTCAGTTTCCTTCAACTTCCAAAAAGTAAGGAGATTTTAAACTTTGAAATGCGTTTGTCTCGAAACTTACTTCTTGTGACATTCCCCCTTTTCCCTTGTGGTCTTTATTTATGTCGGAACTTCATAGCAATATAAATACTTGTGATTTTTTCAAAGCAGCCGACTGCGTGGATCACAAAAAGCTCCAACGCTATGGCATCAGTAATACAAGTTTTCAGTAGTTCAAATCTTGTTTAGAAGAACGAAGTCAGTTATTTCGCGGTAGAAGAGACTCAAAAGTTGCAAATATTGAATATGGAGTGCCACAGAGATCTTTTCTGGGGCCAATGCTGTTTTTTCTCTATATCAATGATATCATAACGACAGAGATCACGGTTTTTGCAGATGATACCACCATTCAATGGCATAACAAATCATCCAATATATTGCAAGGAACAAAAGAAAGCAATTTATGGAATATCAAGCAATGGTGTGATTCTAACTTCGTAGTATTCAACTTGTAGAAAACGAACATCATTCCGCTGTTTTTCCTTGCGTATCACTGGCAGAGGCTAAAATTGAATATAAAACCGAAATACCGTTCCTTGTATCAGATATTGATAATAAAATGAAATTCAAAAATCATATCAAACATCTCTGTAATTAACTTGCATCTGGATGCTTTGCAATATGAGTTATAGCGAACGAGTTAGCTCACTCAGCTGCAAGGACTGCTTATTTTTCTTTGATTGAAGCTGAAGGATTTCGTTTAGGGGGATATGTAACTCACAATTATTTCACAATGTTTCTATATTCCAGAAGACAGCTATGAGATATATTTGCAAAGCCTAATTCATAAAACACGAAATCATTTTATTATCAATACACCTTTATTATTACGTTTTCTACTTCTTTTTAGTTTCACTATCTATGAAAGCATGTTTATTCAGTTTTTTCAACCATCCACTATTAATTTTCAACTTTTTTCAGTTTGGATATCTATGAAAGCTTGTTTTTTTGTTTTTGACTTCTATGAAATTTCTATTTTTCAGTTCGGCTTTTTTATATTTTTTGTAAATAACTAATTTTGGCAAAGGAATCATAATCTTCGAACCAGAAAACCCCCAGATACCAATTTGAAATAAAATCGGATCATAATTACAAAACTCGTCCGCCATTTTGGAGCCGTCATTTTGTTTTTTTGTCAAACAAAAATTTCATGATGCATTGCTACCCGAACTATGTATACCTGCCGAATTCCAAATCAATCGGTCCGTCTAAAATGGGTCACAATTGAGTCCAGAGGAGTCGGTTACATACATACATAAATTCATACTACAAAGGAAACATCTAGAAGTATATTTATTTGTTCACAAACACCAATCTATATTGCCTGATCTCTTTGCCGTGGTCTGCTTCCAAAACCAGCATTTCCTCCTTGGGTAATTCCTCGGACTCCCAGTGGATGAATATTTTACAACCTCCTTCAATAGTGACGTCCGTCATCAGAATGAGAGGGTCAATCACATACCGTTTTCGATTGACTGTAGCCTTGTAGGTGACAGTCGTATCCAATATGTTTTTGAACGGAAGAAAACGATCGTCAAATGTGTTGCTTAGGTATTTACTGAGTAGATGAAAACCTTTCGGATGAACTGAAATAAAAAATTGTTATGGTGAAAAAGTTTATATGATTCATGACGAATTAAGAATCTGATAGCTCTGACGCAAGGAAAGCTGAATCATGAAGAAAGTTCAGATACGTTTTCCTAAAAATGTCTTTTTTCTTTAAGTGGCTCAAAAGTCATCCATTTTTGTTCCAAAATTAGCTCTTGAAGTTGATGTTCCTTTTACTGACCCAATAAAAATAAAGTGACTCATAATAGTGGTAACTTTGCTCATATTTTATCAATTAGATATCAATTAGGTATTTTGATTGCAGAAAATATAGCATGTTTCATCTGGATCATTTGATCCCAATAAAACAATGTAATATCTACCAAAATATAAGGTATTCAATAGTCAGCAGACGAAACAAATTTTTCATCATATCTTCCTTCCTATTGGTACTAATTGGTTGAATAAGCTGGCTATGGATACATTTTGCTCTGCCTAGATTTGCAACAAAATTTTCAGTTTCATCTAATAATTCCTTTCATGTGTAACCTCAATACAATTGAATAAGTTACAAATTCTATTATCACCTAAGGATGTGTGTTTTATCAAAATTCAACAAGTTTGCCTTTATCCGCAGCAATATCGTGAAATAACTGTTAATAATATTCAGAGAAGTTTTCAATCATAAGAAATAATGATCGTTATCCCAAATGCTTCAAATTTTATAACAAATTTTTGGCGTACGTTCGACGTTGGTAACAATAAACTCTCCTCAATTGTTTTTCTACAAACGTCTAACAAAGTAGCCTTTGACACTTTCAAATTCCAGCACAAAGTTGACGTTTCCCCAGAAATGTCATTCTTTGACAGCATTTGCGCTCGTGAGCATAAATATTGAAAAAACGGTCGCACATCTCTGTAACCTATACTTATCTATTCTTGAAAACCCCCAATTATTCCATGATGGAAAATAGTGACAGTGAATCATCAAACACTCCTCCTGATATAGCAGAAAGCGCAAGAGTTTGAATCTCTTACCGGAGAAATCAAGGAAGAAATATGAATTACAATATGATATATTCATGAATTGGTGCCACTCCGAGATGGTGAATATTTATTCAGAAAACGTTTTACTGGCTCATATTGGTGAAAAATCAAAGACTTTGAAGTTATCAACTCATTGGTCTATATATTCGATGGTACGTATACATGCTTCAATGTTAAAGATAATATCGGAATCAATAAGTATCTGAAACTTATCGCATTTCTCAAGAAACAATCTATTGGATATAGAGCGAGAAAAATCCGATACATTCACCGCTGAAGATATATACCAACAAATTTCTACAAGGAGCTCCCGATGAAGCATATCTGTTGAAAACGATGAATTAATTATACATTTGCGCTCGTGAGCATAAATATTGAAAAAACGGTCGCACATCTCTGTAACCTATACTTATCTATTCTTGGAAACCCCCAATTATTCCATGATGGAAAATAGTGACAGTGAATCATCAAACACTCCTCCTGATATAGCAGAAAGCGCAAGAGTTTGAATCTCTTACCGGAGAAATCAAGGAAGAAATATGAATTACAATATGATATATTCATGAATTGGTGCCACTCCGAGATGGTGAATATTTATTCAGAAAACGTTTTACTGGCTCATATTGGTGAAAAATCAAAGACTTTGAAGTTATCAACTCATTGGTCTATATATTCGATGGTACGTATACATGCTTCAATGTTAAAGATAATATCGGAATCAATAAGTATCTGAAACTTATCGCATTTCTCAAGAAACAATCTATTGGATATAGAGCGAGAAAAATCCGATACATTCACCGCTGAAGATATATACCAACAAATTTCTACAAGGAGCTCCCGATGAAGCATATCTGTTGAAAACGATGAATTAATTATACTTTATATTTAAAGTCTTTGCTGTCATCAGAAAGACTGTGTATCTTTATTTTATTGCATCAATGAGTAATGTTCCATTTGATTGCAGAGTTTATCGTACTATGGCTCAGAGGTCTGAAGCGCAGGTTGCCACGCTGGTGGTCCAGTTTCAATTCATGGTAGGCCTGACATTTTTTTTCTGGTTTGTCAGTTATTTCAATTTTCCTCTTTTTGTTTCCTTTGGACATATGGGATAATATGGATAAGAAGTTTATCAACTATTTCAATCGCTCATACTTTCAGCGCAGTTATTTCCAAAAGCTGCGTTAGTAGAAAAAATCTTGTGTGTATTTCGATCACAAAGTGTTATTGCCGCTCTCCAAAGATTACCGCGTTCCGCTCCGCATCGCGCGGTAACTTTCTTTGACGAGCGGTAATCTATCACTCTGCGCTCTAAATACACAAATAGCTATTCTAGGGGTAACATACCAAGAGAATACATTTCAAATTTCTGAGACAATGATTGACATTATTATCATCTGAGCTGAAGATTGTCTTTGTATGATTCTTTTCCAAATATCAGTGAATAAAACAGATGCTTTACCTAGATTTTTGACCCAGAAGTCGTACTCATCCGGATTCAACGAATTATTTATCATCTTCTTCAGTCCTTCAAGCAAAAATGGATTCCTATAGGGTACTTCAAAGTGAAAGAACTTGGAACAAAGATTGTTGGGAACTCCTCTCTTGCAGTTACATGGCTCCGTGGCCCGAAAATTCCTGGGTACTTTGATTGAGATATCTTCGAAGATTTTTTTATTGAAGCTTGCTTGGATGGATATCTTGATGCAAAAAACACCGACATCTTTGTTCATGAAATACACGTATCTCATGTAGTTTTCACAAGTCACGAAGCACAGCTTTAAATTCATCGCATAGCTCCCTTCGTCGTCGAATAAACATTCGGGGACTATACAAATCTGTCTGGGTACGTTGTCCGCTATCAAAGTGCTTGATGTTACAAAATTTTGCTCGTCTTCAGTCTTCGAATTTTCATCTTCCACATACAAGTAAATGCTAGCCATATAGCTTTGCTCGTACGGTGAGGATATGTGCAACACCTTGTTGATGGTTTCGAACGTGTTGACCTTGAAGTTATACTCCTCAGTCACGAAGAAAATATCTGGTATACCGATCAAGTTGATTGCTCTACTTTTAGCAAACCTGTACCCGATAGTTTCCCCTGACAGAACCAAGACCGCTCTGGCTTTGAGGAAACTTTTCGCAGTGTAGGAAACTTTCAGAACTTTTTCTTTCATCGGAGGTATCACAATCAATGTAGAGTCGATCTGAAACTGCTCGGATTCATTCAAGAAGAGACTGTTAGAGTAGGCTATAGGGACATTGCCGCAATTTTTCAGAGTTATATTATTGGACGCTGTCTCGCCGAGTGATGCCTTGATTTCTATACTTTCTTGTGGATAGAAATACGGAAGAACGTCGTACAAGTATGTCAGTAGCATGATGATCTCAATTTTGGTAGGTTCGAATATGTTGGATATCTTCATCGTGAAAGAAAGATTGAGCTTCCTCAAAGCTCCTGACACTGAGCATGCATTGTGGAAAAGCAAAACATCCATATCACCATTCATATCAGAATCATTGTAACTATCTTGAAGTACATTCAAGATATATGGGCAATACGCCACAAGCAAGGTGGCTAGGACCATACTGTCTTTGATATCCTTTTCGAAGCATCTGATACTCCTGGACTTGATATCTTGTCCTGGCCATAGTATTGACTTCTGTTTGTTGAAATGAAACTCTAACCACAAGAGCAGTTTATTTTCATTTTCGTCAGTATGCTTTGGGAATTTACATTTATTCATGTCTACGTATTCTGAAAATGCCTTCTCGTATATCACTTCCTCTTCTCTTGGTTTAACGATACTCAGTGTTCTATCAAACACAAACGTCTTGTAGATATTAAGGAGTAAATCGATCCAACATTGCTTACTCATTCGATAGAATTGTGCCTCGTTCAATACATTTCTAGTTGAAACAGCATCTTTGTCTATCAGAACGTTTTTCAGTATGAGGTATTTGTTGTATGGTAACAGAAATTCAGGGCATAATTGCTGCACAAAAACTTTTTGGGACTCCATGAAATGTATAATATTTTTGTATACGTTATAGACATATATTGTTCTTTGAATTAAATCGGGCGAAGGTTTGGATTTCCTGAAAAAATAAAAATATTTCAATTATGAACTTTCATGTCCCCGTTTTACTCACGTGTCACAGATGAATTTCAAAATTGATTTATTCATTATATTCACAAGAAGCTGAACTAAAGGCAAATGGAAGGTTTTGTTGTTGTTTGGCGTTGATTTATGCATCTCAAAAGGAAACCTTGAAATAGTATCAGGTATCTTATAGTAGTTTTTGTAGTAGAACCCTTGTGAGTGCAACCACATCTCTAAGCTTGTCGTTAGTGAAGTCATTTCTTTCAAGAACCGTCCATCGGCCCCCTCACTTGGGAAGTAAGGAAAATCTGTTCTTGTACCCAAACTCATATTATTAAGATAAGAAACAAGACTAGCGTTACATGATGATGTTCTCACTTCGACATCGCAACTTATTCCACAAGAACAAGTCACTGTTATCTTACATACAACATGACACTGGTATTGTGGCTTGAACACTACTGTTATATCGAGCTTGGAACAAAAGTCTGTGGAATATCTCTTTTCTTCCATCACTAACTCTATATTTTCATCATCAACTTCTATTTCTACTTTACAGTCACTCTTGTGAGCCAGGAAAGTCAAATTGACGACTTTGACGATCCTTTCCAGAACAGCTATTGTTGGCATGTACAAAATTTCAGGCTCGAAAAGTATCTCTGGCATCGGGTTATTTCCAAGCAGAGTGAGAATGTTGAAAGGACACTTGTCTTGGTCAACTAGTATCGGCACTTCGGTTCGAAAGCTCCCGTATTCTTCTGGATTGAACCCAATGTTGAACATGACGTCTTGATTCTGTGCTAGATTCACCTTGAAATAGCGCTCACTAACTTCGAAAATCCCTTGACAACAATGCATTGCTATGCTGAAAGGTAGTTCAACTTTTGACAACGATAGCCTTATGGTATGAGATACCTGAGAAATGTTTTTAATAATCAAATGGTCCATATTCTTGCCATCGTAATTGTTGAACTCCAATCGCATCGAGGAAAAAGTGAACCAAGGTGCGCCAGCTGCACATCTTACATTCACCAATGGAAGTGATTTGGGGCAAACGATTGGTCTAGAAAGAGTAATATCAAGTTTCTCAAAATACTTAAGAGGATCTAGGGAGCTGGGATTATTAAGAACTGGTGGCCCAAGCAAGTCATTGATTATGCACGGTAGGTATATAGAGTATGCAGCAGGTTCTATGGGTCTGAACTCTAGATAGAGGTCTTTAGATTCCTCAGGATCCAATACTATGTTATCCTTGGGAGTATTAGTTTCAGCGTCTGTGATAGTGAATTCTGAGGAAAATTTGAAGAAAAACTTGATGCTGTTCTTGGTAGCACTCTTATTCGTTACTCTGAACACTCTCCTTCTGAATGCACCTGTTACTATTTTAGGAATCTGTATGAAATTCGGCTCGATTTTTATTTCAGGGTAAGTCACATGTCCGGTTATATCTATGGCATGATGATATTCATCTTTCAGTTCAAAATTTAGGGCACATTTGAAATCGACTACACTTTTAAAGTGTACGGAAACTTTGAAGAACATTTCACATCTTCCTTGTAGTGTAATGGAAGTAGGTGAAACAGTTATTCCTTCCAGAGGATTAGGGTTCAGTACTAACACCATGATGGTTTCTTCTGAGGAATTTCTCATTATCAGATCCTTGGTAATTGGCGTATTTAAAGGAATATTTCCGAAGTCTAAGACGTCTGTGTGGAAAGATATGTCTGGCTTAACATTGTCATGCACAACTCTAACAATTTGCTTAGCTCCACTTTGTGACATGAGATATATTTCGGTAGCGAAGACTGCGTCTTTCTGAGGGGTGAATCTCACCCTGCAGTTGATATTTCGTCGAAATGGAATGCTTCCTGATTTCGGAACGATATCGTAGCTTTGGTCTTGCACATCCCATCTGTAAGTGATACTGCAGTTGACCGGGTTCGATATTTTGAAGTAAGCTTCGTGGCTTCTTGGACAAACTCTTACTTCTTGGAATCGACACTTGACTGTAGTGGGCACCACTTCGGCAAATACAGTTGCGTCGAAAATGTGACAATCATTGACGATAATGTATACTGGAACGTAGTATTTTCCGAGGCCGTGGGAGTAGCAGTCGAAGAATATATTTTTGGTCTGGAATGGTTCAATAATGATCCGTCTTTTGCCCTTTATCACAACCGAGTTACTCAGTGCTCTGATGGTTATGTTGATTGAAAACTGGTTATTGTTCTTTATGACGAAGCAATCACTGCAAGATGTGTAAGGAGCTATCTGAAAAACAATCAATTAATATCGGGGTGAATCGATGGATGATAATTTAACAACTTCTCCCAGTTGAATATATCGTGGTTTGATCTGGACGCGTGTCAAACTCTCAGGTCGTAGTGGAATATGCTGTAGCACTATTTTTTCTTGAAATCGCAAAGATGGACAGGTATCGAGAGTGAACTTCTCTTTCATCAAGCAATGTCTCCCAGTGATATCGTAGTCGGAAGAGTCAGGACCAGAGGAGATATGCGTGTCTTTATACCTCTTCTTCATCCTCAAATATTTCTCATAATATTTTTTGTTGAATTTCTTGAATTCCTTTTCGGCTAATGATAGGGTATACTTTTCATCATCAACATCGTCATATCTTGGAATACCGGCAAAAATAGTTTTACATCTGAAAAGTACACGAGGAGAATTAGGAATTGAGCATCTCAAAACATAGATGCGACTGACGGTACTTGACTTCTCCACGGCCTCAAACTATTCGATCTATCGTTGGGGAATGCTATCAATGCATCATTATCCTTTTTGAAACACTTCAATTTCCCATCCACTATGGCTTGGATAGGCTTCTTGATTTCACTGTTGAATCTGACATCGCCCACTAAGAATCCCACTTCATTCGTCAGTGCTGGGGTTATCCCCATATTGAACCTAGGCTTAGTCATTGGTGGTCTTCCGATAGAAGTGTCGATGGTGGCAACATACTTGATGCAGAGAAATGCATTACCCACTTGAAACTTACTGCCCTGTTTGTTCTGATGAAACAACTTGAGGCCAATCTTGTTTTCTACCTGAAACAATTAGCCTATACAGGGTGAACGTAAATTATAGGGTTGATGAGTCAATCTGTAGCTGCCCGAATATCATTGATACCACGGCAACCGTTTGAAAGAACGTTTCCGAACACGCTGTATATTGTGAAATAGCTCCTATGGTATTGAAAAACAAGTAAGTGAAATCTTTGTCGATCAAGAGATGTGAAGTAGAATGAAGTTAATGGAGATGAAGAAGTTGATAAAGAGAACAGTTTGCACATAGGGACTCAATTGCTACTGTCACCTGCCCTATGGATGGAGAGCATGAAGTACTGGAATACAAGTAAATAAACATACAAATCAATTAAAAATAGTTTTCGTTTTATAGGCTTACATAATAAGGAATTGGTGAATATAATAAGCGATTTTTTAATGTAGAATAGATGATTGTGAATAATGAGTTACGGCAATCACTTCATGATAAAGTTTTACATGTTCAGAACCTTAAAAAATAGTTGCCATGAAAAATTGGTTGGTGAATTCCTCATCCCATTCGAAAATAGTGTAAATAGCTATATTCCTTACACAGTGTTGGCTAACAAATTTCCTCAGTTAGCAAACCCACACAATCCTTATGAACACCTTTCTGGCAGATAATGCACAGGCGCATATCAGACATTTCTTTCATCTGACACTTCTTTCAGGTACTGAAGTAGATTTAGGTACTGTAGCGCCCTTGTGCATATTGCCGACTCCGCATGATGGGCACATTGCTACACATGAAACTAAATCACGTGAGGTTATGTTTTCTGTCTTGAGTGTTACCTTAAATCGATTGCTTATCACCACAATCTAAGCTCCAATACCCATGTACGGAACACGAGATTTTACAGTTCATCATTAGGTATGATAACGCGGTTGCATCTTGCTGTCTAACCGACTAAAATCTGACAGTGTGTTAACAGAAAACTGTGTGTATGTGTATAATGTGTGCTGCCATCGCTCATGAAACAAGCAAACTACGGGCCGTGCACATATTGCGAACATGCGCATATTGTATCCACCTACCTTGAATTATTACTTACCTGGCCAATTCTGGATGGTTTAATTATGACGGATATGTCGGTACTTCCATTAGGTTTCAGACACAATTCATTTGGGTCCATTTCGATGCAAGCAACTTTGTCGTATCTGAAAGCTATGGGTGTGGAGTTTGATTTATTCTTCATTGTGAATGTCCTCATGTAACTTTGGCCTACTACTAGCTGGTCGATATCTAAGGCATCTGGAATCAGCTGAACTGAAGCCTCTTCTATTTCACCGTATAAGCAGACCCTTAGAGAGATATTAGGATCCTCAATTTCTTCAGTAGGAAACTTAGTAATGCTTTGCATCGAAGCTATTGAGTACTGGTCTGCAATACAACAGTTCATCTACATTGATCTCAAAATATTTTATAGAATAGACTTTAGAGAGTCAGATGGACAGATTCGTGATATTCAGGAATGATGACAAGTTTTCTATGAAAAACTCACCTAGATCTATGTTGCTAGAAAAGGTTTTCACCTCAATGTCTTTTTCTGAAATGAAAAAATGAGGATAGAAAACATTGATGAATCAATCATACTGAGATTTGATTCTTGATACGAACCTTCAATGACTCCGTCTCTGTAATTCACCTTAACAATTTGGATGAAAACCATACAATAACTCCGACTGAAACTCTTCAGTTTTTTAGGAGAGAAGCTAAATAGAATTTTTATGTAACTGACTATGTTTGTATGGTTCGATGATTTGTTCAATACTCACTTGATTTTAATTGCACATTTGTATTTCGCCATCAGTCTGCCTTCTTTGGGGGATATATAAAAACTTTTCAAGTTATCATCAACCTCTCTTGCCGCGTCTAAACACTGAAAATAAAATTTAAAGCACCTCAAATACCCCATATTTTGTTGGGAGTCATGAACAAGCTAGAGCTAGCCAACAGTCACCCTTCTTTGGGTTTCAAAATATTACGCGGAGTGAAGGAGAATGAAGTAGTGAGCAAACTCCAAACACTCTTCGTAGGACAAGACTACGCTGAAAGACAACCTGATGGAATATACAAAATTTTAAATATTCAAGATTATAGATCTTCCATACGGCTGCAGCTGGATTATTGCCCGGAAAACGACAACACTGCTTTTTTCGTATGTACATTCGGCATCCATCGTATCTATTGCGTATGAGCCGGAGAGGTGAGTTCCGTTACGATATTTTGAAGACTGACGGAATCCACATCATTTTTCAGTTGATTCACTTTTCATAAACCTATTTTCAGATTTCAGAAAACTGTTGCGACATACATGGTTTTACAACAACTTTGAAGCCGCTCCTGCGCCGATCGCTAACGAAACTGACTGACTGAAGGCAGTCTATTCCTATACAACCTACATACGATATAATATCGAAGTATCAGCCTTTAGAAAACTGTTTTCACTCACCTCTCGGTCTAAGTAGGGAGTTGCTTATTGAACATTGAAGTGTACTGAACTTTTAGAGGTTATGTCAATTTAATTTTTGTAACTTCCATTAGTTCCATCAGTGTGAAATGATTCGCCATTGAGAAATGTACGAAAACTGAACAAACCAGAGCACTATGTCTGCATTACGCAGTTCAAATACCTGCCTATTTGTTTACCGTATCCAATCAATATTACGTCATCGCCAATACCGAGTAAGTATGCCTTGTTGACAAAGGGCTCTGATGGTCAAAACGAATCAACAGTCATTGATTCAGGCCACGTTCTGAGCGCGCTCAGAAAATTCTACTGAAACCCTCTGGTATCAGTGCGCCAATTATGATGACTTCATTGAACTAATGAATTAATGAAAGCAAATAGAAGGGACCAAATGAACTAGGTAGGTACTGAAAGCAGAATGAGACTTGTGAAAAGCTGATGTAGAAATAATATTCCAATCCTTATCAAGCAGCTATGAAGAGGTCGATAAGACGTCGATGAAATATTGAGTGGAGAGATTTGTGATACTTACTTAGCACTGAGGTACGTACTATGCAAGATAATACAAAAATAACTTGTCACACACATCAGAAATCTTCAGGTTTTGATCAGTTAGTAACAAATATACAATAACTTCAGTACGTTGTCCTTGAGAACCAGCAGCTCTACAGAATACGCCAGATGCTGTGTAGATTCATTTCAGTGCACTGTAAGCGCAAGATGTGAAGTAATCCATGACGTAATAGCTATTTTTACTGAATTAACCGCAGTTCTGGATATATAAGAAGTAACTATAGAGTAGAAGAAGTTGAACAGATATTAGAAATGGATCACAGAGCTCAGACGCATGTGTAACAGAAGACTCCATGCTCTGTGGTAGAGAATGAGAAGAAGGGGCATCTCCCTAGCTTCTCAGGTAAGGCACAAGCCGTTCGATATCTGAGGTGAAGCAGTGTCATATGCGGTTAGTACTACAGCTACCATATCAATGAGTACAATATATAGTACGGATATGCCGTCCTTCGGAGGGGATGTTAAGCCGGCGGTCCCGAGGCTATGGGTGTTGGACTCGTTAAAGAATTGAAGATCCCTACCTCTGGTTGGAACACCAGAGGATTCGGCAATATTTCCGGTTGGGGGCAGTGTGCTGACCGGCGTTGGTGATCAGCCTCAGTAGCAGAAAACAGCCGAGGTGAAAGAAACAAGATGAAGAAGAAGAAGAAGAAGCAGAAGAAGCATCTATTCGTGCACACTCACTCACCATACAGACCCAAATAGCGACGAAGCTAGGAACACTCGTCTTCAGTGAACATGTCGCACATGGACGGTGTGTGTTCCCTATATAGATCACATACATATAAAAGAGGTAGGAAACGAAGAGTCACCCTACGAAGAAATACCTCAAATCCTGGATTTTCTAATAGGAATAGGACTACGAGATTTGCTAAAACCACGTCATGTATAGCAAGCAGAAAAAGCGGTCCATAATGGGTCTTTCAGGTCACAAGTATATCCACCAATCATGAATGCAAAAATTGGATAAGTCTGATATCAGAATGTCTTGATTTTGGATTTGCGAGATTGAAAAAGAAGCCTGAGGAAAATAGAGTTCTATTATCGTGTTGGTCATCACATAGTACATTATACATGAAGGGACAGAAATGCAAGATTTTTTCCAAGGTGCGATTTGTAGCTCAAAGTGTTTTGTCATAATAATTAGTAGTAGTATAGTTTGTGAAATTCGTATCTCGACAACATGGTGACATCAAATATCGAACTGAAATTTATGAAAACTGCTTCGAAAATGGTTAACGGTTATGGAACAAGGTATCAAGAGACAATTCCAAGAAACTATTGATACTGCTTCTGTAGTGATTCCTAACTTGCTACCTGTGAGATCTAGGAATCTGATGTATTATGCAGCTTATACTCGCTTCAAAGAAGAGTGTTCCGAAAAAAAAACGCAGAGCTATGCAGAAAATGTAAAGTTGGTATAAACTCCTTAAGGAGAAAATATGTCACATTATCTCCCTAGGAGACTTCTACACCTCTTCTGTTACCAGAGAAACTAACTCCTACTGCCACCGGCGTAAAAATAATTTTATACGTTGATATCTACCATATTATGTCAGTGTGTCGGTGACTGGTTTGAAATTTTGATTGATCATCAATTCAGCTTTATGCATGTGAAGAATGAACAAATAATGGAAATGAATATCTGATGGTTATTCCATTTACCATTAGTTGATCTCCTTGAAGTTCGGCAAAAGTACAGAACATCGTGGACGTAGAACTACTATTCTCGATTATCAGAGTCCTGGTGCTTTCAGCGCCGTAATAAGTTTTCGGGAAATCGATGACAGTCAAAGGAGAAGTAGTGATCGGTCGTTGCATCACGAGCTTTGGCGAAATGAACGTTCCTGTGATCCATACTCTCTGCGGTGGTTCCGTTTTTATCCAGAATTCTTTCAGGAAGGTGCCTTCTTCAGAACCGAGGATCTCCACTCTGATTTCCCGCGTCTCCAATGGCTGTGAACAGATTCAATCCGAATAATGGTCTTCAATTGTCATTATCACTACACCTTCTCCAGTCCAAGTCGATTCAGTTTCAGGAAGGGTCAATATACTAATTAATTTCAATACAGAGAATGTATTTCATAATAGTCAATGGTATTTCGGAAAGTGTCATTTGAATATCAATTGATATTTTCTGAAATAGAATTGGAACTTCCTGAAATTCAAATGACTATTCTGAAATACAATTGACGCTTTCGGAAATTGAATTCACTATTCTGGAATATTGATGATGCTTTCTGGAAAACAAGTAACTATTCTGAAATACAATTGACGCTTCCTAAAATACAACTGGAAAAGGTGCAGAATCGTACATTTTCTGTATTGAAATAGCTTGTGTTGAAGTGTGAATGTGTGGAGGTGTTCGTCATTCCAGATTTATTTCGATTTCCTCTCCTCATTTCTATAAAATGAAAATATGAATATTATTTCAATATACGTGTAGTAAGGCCAAATCAGATGATCTGCCCCAAAATGTCCCTGCGTTTGAAGAATTTCCCTATCAGAGAGCCTAAAAGAAAAATTCACTAGCTTATCAGTGACAATTCGTATTGAAAACGGTTTGGAAAAGAGAAATAAAGGTATATAGAAAAAATATAAGATTTTCACTTAGCTTCAAACGTTGCGGAAACGAATCTGCTCCCGTTTTCAACATAAAAAATGGATACACTTCTCAGTTCTCTATGACAATTGTCACTATACGAATACGAATTCGCTATTCAAACATCCATTTTTTATTTATATATACAGGGTGTTTCATTGGGAAAGGTGAATAATTCAACTGTAGATAGGGGTCACTGGGGTGATTTCAAAAAACCCATGGTTGATGGGTCTACGACTTCTTATAACCGAGATACAGGATGTTTCATCAATTTTGTCCATATCTTCATTGTCTCATAACTTTCCAACCAACCTGTATATATTTTTAAAAATTGGTACACTTGCTCAATTTATCCTGTGGAATTGATTGAGGCAACAACAAAAGATAAAATTCAGGTCCGGCTTCACTTAAAATTCACAAATTCTTTCTGCCAGAAAACAACACCCTATACATTCGAATTTCTCATTTTTTTTGCCATATCTGAAGAGAACATCAAAATTTCTATTCAACGATATGCTTTTTATTCGTGCACAGACGATTTTAACTATTCATATTATGTGCTCAAAATATTATAATTGCTCATTTTGGGATACAAAATTGGAATCAGACGAGATTTATTAATTTTATTACTTCCTATTCAGTATACGTGAGTATTACTTTCAGAAGGAGTATTTCATATCGTTCTTTGTTCCAGACTTAGTTGCAGGGCCATCATCAAAACTATACAGGGTTTTTCACGGTAAGCGTTAATTAGTTCTGGCAAACCAGGCAACGGATAAATCTGAAATTTCAATGGTATGTATAAAAAAACTCCGTGAAATATTCCAATGATTCGTGCATAAAAATGACTAGACAATTTTGCATTCAAGCGTGTTATCTTATACACATTGCATTCGGACTCGGGCTCTTTCGCCAAGATATCAGAATAAACTCTTGCAATTTTTAGATAACATGCTTTCTTGCAAAATTATTGGTAATTTTTATGCACTTGTGCAATTATAGCCGATAATTTGCAGTGATTGTCTCTTGTTTCGAGACGTACCTATACTATTACCGACACTCTCTTCCCAAAGAGTGAAGAGTTGATTGGGAACATATCACTAATTTCCTCCTATTCTATATTGATATTTAGTAGCAAAGTGATGATGAATTATGATTTCACATTCGAAAAGGGTCACAACGATCCTATACTCATCATATACAGTGTGACCCACTTCTATTGGAACCACCCCTGTATCTTACGTAATCGTTGGGTAAGGATCCTGAAATTTGCTGGAGCGAGAGATATACCAAAAATGCTCTCTATGACCAAGTGGGGTCATCTTCAGTGATATACACTGCTCGCCAACAGCCATGAAACTACCCCAATTTCCCGAAAATTATATTAGGAGTCAAGATAGGTCGAAAATCACTTCAGATTTGGAATCAGGACGCCCAATTTACTAACTTTCCAAATTTTTCCTGAAAAATGTTCAGTTCAGAAAAATGAAATTTTGTCGCATTTTTTATGGAAGCACCCCCGTATCTCACGTAATTATTGAGGTAGGGTTCTGAAATTTGCCGGAGGAAGAGAAAGTCCAAAGATAAAGTCAATTACGTGAGATACGGGGGTGCTTCCATGAAAAATGCGACAAAATTTCATTTTTCCGAACTGAAAATTTTCCAGGAAAAATTTGAATTGTTAGTAAATTGGGCGTCCTGATTCCAAATCTGAAGTGATTTTCGACCTATTTTGACTCCTAATATCATTTTCCGGAAATTGGGGTAGTTTCATGGCTGTTCGCGAGCAGTGTATATTACTGAAGATGACCCCACTTGGTCATAGAGTACATTTTTGGTATATCTCTCGCTCCAGCAAATTTCAGGATCCTTACCCAACGATTACGCAAGATACAGGGGTGGTTCCATTAGAAGTGGGTCACATTGTAGAAACGAATTTTGTTTTGTGAAAAACATCGTAGATGTTAGATAACCTTCTTTCTATCTTTCTATCGAGCAATTTCTGGTTTTACTTGGATTGAAAACTCAGTTATTGAGTGACTTAGATACAGCTAACTCAGTTGTTATAAAAATTAACAACGCAAAGTAATTGAGATTCCTGTTCTCCTGAGCAATCAAAATTCTGAGCTAATTCCAATGATTTTCATTAGTGAACCGATCAACTACGAATGAAAGGAATCCCTTCACATTCACAAAGAATGATAATGATTGGGAGATAATTGCATTATTATACAAACATTTTTTTTTCTATCGTCAGCAAATTATAATATTATATAAATATGTAATTACAATAGAACAAAAAACACATTGTTGTTCTGGAGTAGATAAGATGAATATTTGCATTCACAATTCACAGTAGATAATTAGCGGATTTCATATCAATATGTCAGTGATTTCTTCGCTTCTTTGTTGATTTATTAGAAAAATATAGGGACTGCAATCAGATCTGAATTCTGAATAGTCCAAGAATAATAACCACTACTCAGTGAGTAGGTTTGAAGTTGTGAATTTTCTGAACGTGATTTGAAAAAATTCGGTACAGAACGTCTTAGCAGTCTACCATTAACATTGATACAAATTTTAGGAAGAAGCTTTGGACTCTGCACCACTCCCTGCATCAATTTGAAAGAAGTTACAAGATCTGTTGCATGATGTCAAATCTTGAGTATGACTGATTGCCCGTATCATCCGAAGAAACATTGTTGTTTATAATATAAAAAGAGAGTTGTTGCTTTTAATTCCATAAATATGCGAACGAGGAAATCGTTCCTATATAGAACACTTTATATATTTCTTCACCATTAAAAAGAATATTCGAAGAAGTTTTCAGAAATATCGCACTCCATATAATTATTTCCCTCGTTTCTCAATTTATGAACATTCGAAACTAACAAAGTTCGATCGATTTTTTAACAATTTTCAGAAAAAATATCATATTTTAACATTGAGAATACCGGAACCACGCAGCTTCCGGAACTATGCCTATGCCAAGTCATTTATTCCAAGTAGGGGGATATTTTTGCCATAATGATTGGACCATACAGGGTGTTTCATTGGGAAAGGTCAATACTTCAAGTGTGGATGGGTCACTGAGGTGATTTAAAAAACCCATGGTTAATGGGTCTTCGATATTTTGCATATTGTCTCATAACATTTCAACCAACCTGTATATTTCCACCGGAATTGGTACACTTACTCAATCAACGCTGTCGAATTGATTGAGTAATTAACAAAAGATAGAACCCAGGTCCAGTTTCACATAAAATTTACAAACTTTTTCTACCTGAAAACAACACCCTACACACTCAAATTCCTCAATATGTTTCAACACGTTTTCAGTTCCTAAGAGTTAAACTTCAACTTTAGCTCCTAGACACTGAATATGTTGCCTATCAACATACATAGTAACAATTTCATTGTGTCAGTTAGAGAAACGTCAACTTCATGATCAAAATTTGGACCAAAAATGGACGACTTTTGAGCCGATTGCTGAAAAATAATATTTTCAGTTCATAATATGAGTATTAAAAATTGTCCGTGCACGAATAAAAAGCGAATCGTTGTATAGACATTTTGGTGCTTTTTTCAGATATGATAAGAAAATAGAGAAATTCAAATGTATAAGGTATCGTTCTCGAGCAGAAAGAATTTGTAAATTTTATGTGAAGCCGGACCTAGATTTAATCTTTCGTTGATGCCTCATTCAATTCGAAAGAATAGATTGAGTAAGTGTTCCAAGATGGAGACCCATTAACCATTGGTTTTTTTAAATCACCTCAGAGACCCCTACCCGCAACTGAAATATTTACCTTCCGCAATGAAACACCCTGTAGCCTGTATAGGTAATACCTATGATCTGTTTGCTCTTCAATATGAAGTGAGTAGTTTTTATTAGATATTTGGGTGTTTTACTTGAATAACTCCCTTCATTGGATGAACGATCAATTCCAATACATTTCGACTTAGATCCACTACAAATTGGGCACCCTTGTGGCCCTTGTTGATCATCTGAACGGCCATTTGCTCAGAAGCTGTTCCTACGTCGATTTCGCCAAAATTCAAAATCTTCGGCTTCAAAGTAATGTATGCCTTGCTGATATAACTGAAAACGAAAAATGGTTCACTAAGTACACTATAGATTCCATACGCAGAAGAGTAATAGGAGAGTCAATAATGGAGATCAGCAGGTTAGATCAAGTGATTCAACAAGAAATTCCACATAATAACTGAAATATTTATATGGACCGGCAGATAGTGACTGATTATCGGACGTGATTTCACCCACTAAGCGTCTTAGAGGGTATCATTAGGTTATGCATAAAGGTGTTCCACAGGGATCTGTTCTAGGACCCATCTTGTATTTATTATATATTCAAAATATTTCTAAAATTGGATTGTCAGGTAATTATACTATATATGCAGATGATACTGTACGAAAACAAAAACCCCATCATTCTAGAAAATATTATTAACGAAGATTTGAAAAAAATTGAAAAATGGCTTTATTCAAACATTTTATCAATTAATACCAATAAAACTAACTATATAATATTCCATCAAAAAAATAAACAGAATATTAGTCTCAATCTCCAAATTAAAAATGAAAAGAACTACACAAATGAAGTATCTTGGTATGTGGATTGATGGAAAATGGAGATGGGACAAGCATATAGAGGTTCTGATACAAAAAATATCTCCGATCATTGGAGCTTTGCGAAGATGTCCTAAACTTGACAAAAAAGTCATAAACATAGTACTTCATTCTCATATACTCAGTCGTATTACCTATATGATAAAATTATATAAAATAGATTCTCTTAAAGTTTCATATAATATAATAAACAATAATCTGAAATCCAATTTTATTTTGATAAGAAACTCAGAAATTCATGGTCATCACACGAGACAATCAAACTTATTTCATCTTGATTCTGCTACTTCTATAATTGGCCAAAACAGATTTACTCACGCTGCTCTAGCTGAATTTAATAAATCACCACATAATATCAAAAATTGCAGACATATTGCAAAATTCAAAATTGAATTGAAAAAATACATGATTTCATTACGAAATGGATAAAATTTATAATTTGCCATCTATTGATTAGTCCCTGTGGCTATTTTTATGACTTGATCGATTTAGCATTTTTAGATTTTTTGGATTTTTTTGTTGTTGTTGTTGTCACCTTATATTATTTTATTATTGTTGTTTGTAATCATTTTCCTCATACCAGAATTTTATTTCTGACTGGAAGCTAGTTTTTCAATAAACAATAAACAATAAACAATAATAAAGTTTTTCAACATTATTTTTTCGCAAACTAAACGTTTCGATAGCCCGTGTTCCAAAATTCAATATAAGTGATATGCGTAGTTAAAAATACAGAAGCATATCCGTTGCCTGAGCATAAAAGCATAGATCTAAATACAATATTTAGATCTATGATAAAAGGTAGATAAGGTCAGGTGTAGTTACATTTGCGCATGTCCAAAAACACCTAAACTTTGAAAACATGCTTGAATGTATGATTGATTGAATGATTGATTCATGTATCATTCATTAACATCAAAATATATTCATAATGATACCTTCCAGAAGGCATACTGGATGAAATCACGTCCAAAATCTGTCACTACCTGCCGGTCTAATAGTATTGATTGCAGATGAAAGAACCCTGAAACCTGAAATGGAAGAAATTATGAGTCTTCAGAAAATGGACGCTGACAAGATCTTCAGTCCTAGCACGAAGAGTGTTCCAGAGTTCTATCTTGGGTTTTTCAAATTGTAGCCCCATGTTTCTTTGTAGCTCATTCTTTTGGGGTTGTCGATATTACTTGAAGACGTTGTATTCAAATTGATGAAGAAATGGAAGTTTGTACAGGATCGTTATAGGCACAGTTTAAGGAAATACCCATTCCTCAAACTGTGTTATAGGGCAGGCATTTCTCAATAAAATGTTTCAAATTCGAAATTTCAGAAGGTGAATACATTGAAAACTATCTGTGTGTGTGTGTAATATACCATTGATCTAAGTTCTATCAGATAATAATAATAATAATATTCATTGGTCCCAAGAAACATATACAAGTTTATGGAGGGACACAAGAAAAAATAACAACAACAAATAAATAAACGAATCTATAATATCCAATGAAATGGAAGATGAACATTTTATTCTGTTGTTGGGTACAAAAATATAAGTGATTAAATTTTCTCAAATTTGATTTTCATTGTGACAGATTTCAAATGATAACTTTGTTTGGTGTGATACTCATTAGTATCAGAAGTTTATGGCCTTCAGCGTGTAATGGCCCTCGGCTAGCGCCATCGTGTCATTATTCAAGCCACAGGCCATAAACGCCTACTTTACGCCCTTGATACATAAATAACTATTATGATGACTTCATTCTCAAGAGATTCCATAGGATTCATAATAGATTTAGCTCCAGTACAATAGATTGATATCATATACTTGATATCGCTTATTCTTCCATAGGCCAAAAAAGATTCACCCACGCTGCTCTCTTGGAATATAACAAATTACCAGATAATATAAAAAAATGCAGAAATACAATAAAATTCAAATACCAACTTGAAAAATTTATTATTTCTGAACGAAATAGTTGATTTTTTTTTCTCAACTTTTGATTCATATTCAAATTGATTTTTACTCACCAATATGAAATGATTTGTCAAAATTGAATACTTGATGTTTTCAAATATTATATTATTTATTAGTTTATTATAATTGTATATAGTTTCAGGTATTATTGTTAACTATACTTCCTTATACCAGAACTTGATTCTGACTGGAAGTAACATTTTCAATAAATAAATAAATAAATAAATAAAAATACTGCAATTTAATTCAATCAAAGCGACATAAATCAATTTCAAGTATTTGAGTGGTACAAGATACATTAATCTGTATATCTAATATACCAATAACATAGCGGAAGATATTTTATTCCTAGGCATTTGGATTAGATGCGATAACCAAGACAGGGAGACTGGTCTATATTTAAACCTGGAAGTTCTGAATCATTTCTTAGGATGAAAGCAACTCTTTTCGAAATAAGCCAAACGAAAAGATACAGAGATGCAATTTGGAAAACCAGAGTCAGGAGTATGGGTTCTTTTGGATTGATATTGTTTGATTTGGTCTCCCTATATTGAAAAATGAAGATAAAAGAATGTTTCATGTTTTATACTTTTTCTTGTTGATAACCGAGATATCTGTTTGCCTCGAAACTCTGAGATATTTTGTATAGTGAAAATACAAACAATCTTCTTCATTGCTGAAGAACCTGCAGAGTCACTTGAATCCATCAATAATAATTGATATCTCACGCTCGGAACACAATGAATGAAATCACCAACTAAACTATAAAATTGAACCAAGGAATTACACAATTCAACCGTGACATTGACAATCATTTTGTCGTATAATAATATTCATCGTAACTCCTTCCGGGTAACAAACAATTGAATCAATTCGTATAGTGAATTATCGTACTTTTTATGGAAACTTTATGGAATGTCTACTTTCAAAAAGTAGTAAAAAAGGTAAACTCAACCTTGGTATATAGAACTGAAATATCATTATATTCACGAACAACAAAAATTATAGGTATACACTGGGGTATCCATCGAAGAGACCCACCGCTATATTAAGTTACTTTTTCTACTAGCGTGCCGAAAAGTACACTTTTCCTCACACATTTCAGTGATGAAAGAGTAACTTTTCTGCACTGAGAGGAAATTCTGAAATATTCAGATCTCCGAGGCCTACTTAAATTGTTGTAGGGGTAAAATTTTCAAAAACGACTATATTAGGCAACTTCTTTCTGGAATACTGACTAGCCTATTCGATTCAAGCATTGCTGAAATACCTCCATTCGAAATTTGAAAGCAATATCTCTTATATACAGGGTGTGAGTTATTCAATGGCAAATTTCAGAATTCTTGCCTTTTTATATTTACCCTGAAATAAAATCTAGGAAGTTTCATCAAAATCAAATCAATGAAACTAAAGTTGAGGTTCATCATTTTGAAAACTCAAGAAAACCGTTTTTCATACACTCCGCCACACAGTAACATATTAAATCATCTCTATTGATGAAAAGTTGTTGTACAAAAAGAATGACAGACAGGCATTTTCCAAAGTCTGCAAGGAGATAATGATAATACCAATGCTTGATGTGATCATAAATAACATACCAATTTTGTCGTATTAGAATGACAATTTGATATGACAATGAAAATTGTTATGTATGGAGAATATTTCCTCGAATTAGTTACTATTACTAGAAAAAACATATAGATCGTCATAAAAAATTTCAACTTCAATTTCATAAATTTTTTGTTGACCTACAGAGATCTTTCTGTAGAAGTTACAACGTTTAATTATTCGGAGTGTTCCTCCATTGTGTGACTACTTCACTGGATTAACCAAGATGTGATATCGGAATACCTATACAAAATTATGATACACCGTCAATGAATTGTTTTTTATCACTGTTGAACTTAGATTTTCAACCGAACAGTTATAACCTATTCACAACTAGTCCAATCAAGATGTACATCCGTGCTTGCAAAAGGTCCGGTCATTCTGAATTTTTTATATCTTGTTTTTCAAATTTCTACAAATCTGCTATCAAAGATGCTTGCATTTTTTCAATCATTCTTGTTTCAAATTGTATAATCATCTATCATTAAATAAGTTGCGTGTCACCCTTCATTTTCTTGAATTTCTTCAATGAAATATTTCCGAACTCTGGCAATGGAAGTCTTAATAGAATAATTATTGTCACAACCAATTATATGCAGGAGGTTGCATGGAAGTCTCACATTATAAAAAGTACACACAATGTAATTTCGGTAATGATGGTGATATAATATACCATCATATAATGTGGGATATATTGTCGACAGGCAGGGTCATAGAAAATTTAAAAAAAAATAAGAAAAATACGAATGTCAAAGTGACTGACCAATTACCAGGAAACAACTATATTATTATAATCTATCTCAACAATTTCCAGTTTTCAGTAACACATTGTTCAAATGAGTGAACAAAATGAATTTCATGGTATGGTTCGAAATCATAGTTTCTCGTTCTCATAATACATAAAATGGGCGTGTACACCTTAGTAGAACTTTTAACTCAAACCATGTTTATAATGACCCTTTTATACATAAATAATGATTGACGACATAATTCGATCGAAAAATTAACTGGAATGTTTTATTTTCGGACATAAATAATAGTACCTTCTGAAAACGGACCCTCTTATGACGTAGAAACCTCATCTTGCCATAGTTAAAAGAAAATACCAAACGCCCGACGGAGACTGAGGCAACTGATATATTGATTCTTTCAACTGTGATCTCGCGCTAATTCACTCTGTCAGAAATCATGCACTCATCTAAGTCTGGAATAGTTGTTTCAGTATTAGGGTTTTGACGTCACATCATCGCCTCGTTTTCAGAGGTCCGAAAAATCGGGGATTTCAATAATTTTTTATAAAACGTAGGGAGCTCACAGCAAGAAACGGTTTGCGGTGGTGAGCTAGTTTGGTTGAGTTCTATCGAATTATGAAATAATTTTTTTTGTGATATAAGCCCATTATGAAAATCTCATTATTGGGCATGAGCTTTATTCAGTCAGAGTAATAATCTATAATGGATCCTTGAAACAAATACGAAGCCCTCTGGTATGCAGTGTCATGCAGTCACTAAATCTCAAATTCGAATTCAAATTCAGAAAGCAATACATAGAAAGGGTATTCGAATTTCTTATAACAATATTTATACAAGGTGTCCCAGACCAGCGAACCATAAATATGTTTTCCATGCACATTCACTATAGTTAATTGACCTACAAATTTCAGAGCAGTATCCCTCGAGGATTTCGAAATATTGAAGAAAATCTGTGGTAATAAAATTGTTATTTATCACCCTCTCATTGCTCTACGGTGCATTTTTTTATGGAGTTAAGTTGAGTTCAATCGGCCTAGAGCTAAGTTGACTTCAATCGGCCTATTGTTCTGGGACACCTTGTATATCTGCCAATCTTCAATCATGAATAATAGTCATCAGATGAATGCAAACTAAAACAATAGCGGAAAGGATTGTTAGATAGGAGCGATGTAGATATACTTTACACTTGAAGGTCGTAAACAACCAGATTTTCATTCACATAGATTGACAAGCAAGCCTGAGAAAGAGCCATAGCACTGTTGTAGGTGTAGGTTATCTTTCGTGTGATGCTCATGCCTGATGCTAGATAACGTCCTCTAGGTAGTGGTTTCATTTTGAACGCCTGAAAGGAACTAAAAACATTGAATTTTGCGGATAATGCCCTTTATGTGCTTTGTAGTGGTATTGTTTCAAGCAATTGGGATGAATCAAGACATGAACGTGATCTATCAATCAATCAATCACTCAAATAAACTTCATTGCCCGAAGTGTTAACTCATTTACAAAGCATGTTATAATTTAACAATAATTTTTCATAATAATATTCATAATTCGTCATGCATATAGAATAGTCATATATACTTTTGATAATAATAATAATGATGAAGGAATATATACATAGAAAAGGGATATTCTCTGATATATTTATGAACACAAAAAAATGGATATATACAGGGTGGTCCGTTTTTTAATACGGAAAATTTAACAGCTTATAGTACTCGTTGAAATAATGAATAAACTTCCTATAAACATATACTTTTTAACGCTTCGTTTTCAAAATATAGTTCATAAGACTCATGAAATTTTCTATTTTGTAACCTGAAAACTATTACTTCTATTTATGCTTGCAATAGTATACACTGATAACTATAGTATTAAACGAAAAAAGAGAACCAACATTACTGAAAGCATGACATGATATTAGTTTATAAATTACCTGCAACTGTTGAGCTGCTTTTCTAGACCTGAATTGTTGGTTAACATCAAAAAATCTAAGAATGTGATTGTTATCATTTCTTCTCAGTGGGCCATTATTTCGGTATTGTTCATTATTGCCACGTAACCCAAATTGACGGAAACGTGAATGAGTATTGATAAAGACTCGTGCATTAGGCACCTTTCTCCTAGGGAAGCGATTTCTGTATTCCCGAACTGCTGCCTCTGCGTTTCAATCACAAAATCCGTAAACGAAATAATTACCCGAAAAATTTGTGTAACTATTATCTTCGCCACCCCAGATTCAGCCGCCACTGAATAGTTTTCATGAATAATTTTTATTTAATCTAATAAAGCTGAAAAAGTTTAGTATCTGTGAGAAATTTCGTTAATTTATCTACCGTTTCTAACTTTTGATTAAGAAAATATATTCAGAAGCGTATTTTTGACACCCAATATCTCAAAAACGAAGCGTTTAAAAGTATATGTTCATAGGAATTTTTTTTATTATTTCAACGAGTACTATACGCTGTTAAATTTTCCGTATTAAAGAACGGATCACCCTGTATATAAAAAAATACATTGAGAATTCGCATTCTCCATGTGATATATTATATTGAAAATATTAAATTTTTCTCGGTTTATTCAACAGAAGCAACTACTGTCCTGGCTATATGCCACGACGAACATTGAATTACATCTATTGAACACACACGATAAGAATTTGAATACGAAATCTACTGAAGTAGAGAATTTGCATTCTCCTTCATATGAAGATATGCACATTATATCATTCTGAATATTCAACAAAAAACAACTACTTTCCTGTCTATTTGCCACGTCGAACAATGAATTATATCTGTTGAATATTCAAAAAGAGAGCATGAAAAATCAAAATCCTCTGAAATTGAGAATTGACATTATCTCTCTAATTGAATAGATAATCTAGAACTGTGGTACGCCTATTTTATTATGTATTTGGGATGATATAAAGTGAGTTTTATCATTTTCTAGTTTATGGAATATCTTTACGCACTGGGTGCGATTTTTAAGGTACGAGTCAAACCATTCATGAATATTTCCTCTGATGCCTAGATTGTGAGTTTTTCCAATAAAAAATCATGTTGAACACAGTCGAATGCTCGACTCATATCACAAAACACAGATTCAGGATTTTCATTAGATTCCAGACCTTCCAGAATCTCCTCTTAAAGTGAATATATGGCAGTAATTGTTGAGCGACCTTCATGAAATCCATGTTGATTTTATTGTCGAACATTATTGTTTATTAGAAATTTTATTAGAGAATCAAGTATGCTATACTCAAAAATTTTTGATATCACAGGTGGTTGGGCAACTGGCCAGCCAATCCAATCAATATGCATTTATAAAAACTTCATAAACGATAAGATTTCCACAAAATTCTCAAACAAACGACATATTGACATGACCCCAAGTGTGAAGAATCTAGAAATGCAATGAAATACAGGGTGCTCCATTTAAAATAACGAAGTTGCTAATTGTTTCTGATAGAAGTGGCAACACAGTATCGATGAAAATATTACGGATAGAGAATGTTCAATTATCGAAGCATTCCAATTTTCAGAATGTTCTGTCTCTTTCTTCTCTAGATATACAGTCTGACCAAGATAAGGTTGAACAGCATGGGGATCTCGGAAACAGTAGGAGATACGGAGTCGTTAAAATGGAGAAAAAGTTGCGCATTTGGAGGCTCATATCAAGAGCCTTCGAGAATATTCAAAATTATTTCTAGTTTTTGAGTTATATCGAAAAAAGTGAATTTTTGGAATATCTATTCTATTTTTTTTTTCTCTGTTTTCATGAGAGATACAGAAGAACTGAAAATACTTTGTCGTAGCAACTTTTGATGACGTTCAACGTGGTGATACCGATTTTTTTATGCGACGTTTCGTATCCGTAGAATCATCATCAACTTTTGTTTTTTATATACGGTCCTGATAATTTTTTCAAAGATTCTGAAAGGTTTTTTTATTCTGAATTCAACCATGTATTATACAAGGTGATTAGAATGTGTTTCGACCTATTTCTATCCATCATCAATGTTTTTTCGAATTTCCAAAGGAAAAGTGCCATCAGTTCCACTTATTTCTGATCATTTAGTGTCAAACATTGATGGATTAGATATTCAATACTGAGAAATGAATAAAAAATATTTCACTACATACTTCATTCGATGCAGCGCTTAAAATTGTTGATGAATTCTCACACGAATTACTTCAACAACTTAACTTTGACAATACCTACAGAAACATTCATAACAAATGTTTAAAATGATAACCATTATTTTCTGAACAAAGATATCCTCTCCTCACAGTTGCTTCTAAGGCATTCCTTAGCATTTCTGGGGTTATTTTATTTTTATCATCAAAGTTATTTGCGTATACAAAGTTTTTGATATATCCCCTAAGAAAATATCCAGCTGTGTCAAATCAGGCGACCGCGCCGGCCAAGGGACTGTAGAATGAGTACCAATCCATTTTTCTGGATAAAAACGCACGGACTTCTCTGGAATTATGTACTGGATCTTGTTGAAACCAGAGATTGGGGAGTGTATAATCTCTGTTGAAACCAACAGTTCTGAACTTCTGCAATCAGTAAATCATCCAGAGCTTCCTCAAGATGATTCTCAAGCAAATTTCTATAACGTTTTGAAGTCTGGGTTTCATGGTAAATAAAAGGACCAATAATTCGTATACCAATTATTGCAACCCACATATTAAAGCCGAAACGATGTTGGATATGTTGGTGTCTCGCTGTAATGTGTAAATGTTCATTTTCTCGTGAACAATAATGTGTATTTTTTTTTATCGAAGATATCATGATTAGTGACCATGTTTTCATCAGTCCATATGATTGTTCGAGGGAAATCTGCAGAATTTTGACATTTCCTGGTATACCACTCACAGAATGTCCTGAGCCTTTCGTCATCGCCTGGTTTTAGCGCTTGACATATTCTGAATTTGTATGGATGGAATTTTTGTTTCCGCAAAATGGAATGGGTTGTTGATTGAAACTAGTTGATGAGGTATTAGTGTGTTGACTAATTTTCCTTCAAAATAAGTGGAACTGATGGCATTTTTCCTTTGGAATTTCGAAAAAACATTGATGATGGCTAAAAATAGGTCGAAACACACATAAACCACCTTGTATAATACATGGTTGAATCCAGAATAAAAAAATCTTCCAGAATCTGTGAAAAAATTATCAAGACCGTATTTGAAAAACAAAAGTTGATGATGGTTCTACGAATACAAAACGTCGCATAAAAAAATCAGTATCACCACGTTGAACGTCATCAAAAGTTGCTATAAAAAAGTATTTCCAGTTTTTCTGTATCTCTAATAATGACGGAGAAAAAAAAAATGAAATAGATATTCCGAAAATTAACTTTTTTTGATATCTCAAAAACTAACAATAATTTGAAAAAATTTTCGAAGGTTCTTGATATGAGCCCTCGAATGCGCAACTTTTCCCCTATTCAACCGACTTCGTATCTCCTACCGTTTTCGAGATCCCCATGCTGTTCAACCTTATCTTGGACAGACTGTATACTTTTAATAGGCCATCCACCGTGGATCACCCTGTATAAGCAAGCCAATGTTAGTTTAGTTCATCGTACCAGTATATCACCTGAAGAAGCTACTGTGTTAGCGAAACATGTCGTGTGTTTGAGAATTTTGTGAAGTTTTTACATTTGCCTTGGATTTCCATCAAGTAATGGCCGAGTCGATTCAAAATATGCATTCAATCATCATCATTTACAGTTCTAGAATTGGTGTTAGCAAAAGATAATGATACTAGTATGGGATTATGTTTCGATGAGTGTTTCAATTATCGAAACCACCTGATAATTGGTTTTCCCTGACAAAAACCCACCATGATGATTCGATGAGAAGCCGACATCGGAAAAAAGATATACTTAATTGATTTGGAATTACCTTTGAGGTAGGGGAAAATACTCTCACTAGAGCCGGGTGTTTCCCCACATTAATGATTGTAAAGGACTGAGTGAATTTCTTTCCATCATATGCGTCCCAAAATACCATCTTGGCCGGGGTGATCCTGACATTTTCGACTTCTTTGGATTCAACTTTCAAGCTTTCTTCGAAAAGGAGAGAGTTCGCTCTGGAACTATATACGGACCCTTGTTTGGAAGACGGTCCTTGGAGGATATCAGTGATCTCTTCCATTACACGGTTGTTTTGACAGATATTTCAGATGACTTTGTGTCAAACAGACAGTACATGAAAAATCGTCTAGAAACTCTTGGTCTATACATGTTAGTCAGGGTGATTCAATGAGAATGGAAAATCTCTGAACTTCAAATAGTAAATATTCCTCAACTTTGTTCTCTGAATTTTAACCTTTGGAATTCTTGGCTATGGGCATTGACAATTCAAGAAATAGTAGCATGAAAAATTTCTTCGACTCCAAAGCTTCCAATTAGGCTGAAGATGGTTTTTTGTAAGACCGAAATATGTCCTTCATGATTATGAAACAATATCATCAAAAGTGGAGATGACTTCGAGCATTCCTTCCTTCGTGTGAGCTATCTTTCTGTGTTCACCCAATGTCATTGTCGATTTTGATAATCAATTTGGTTCATATCATTACTCAGAACATTGCCCAGGCAATGAAAGTCACCTTTTATGCCTGTCGAGTGTGATCAAAAAGACATTTTTCTGGGACAAGTCATTTTTATTCTTGCATTTCTATTTTTGCACATGAAAATTCTCAATCGCCTGTCAACTTGCTACCCTACAGATCAAATCTTTAAAATTTTGTGAATTGAAATTGTACGAAGGGTCAAGTTACACCTCGTTGGGGAGGTATTTAATATCTCTATTGGATCTTTTTTTTTTCAAATCCGGTTGAGCCATATTAGCAAGAAAGCAGTCGGAAGGGATTCAAGATGTCAGGTTAATTTGTCTGAATTATTGGTATTAGTTGGTACTTGTATCACCTGTAGAGTTAAAATTAACCTACACATTGTGCAATCCTGTAATTTTTCATCTGTGTAAGATAGGAAATTGAATAAAAAAAAAAAAGTTTATGCGGATAGAATATCAGATATATTCATTTATTCTTTGAACAGAATACACTCAATCATGGTGATGATGAAGTCCATGTTCATGTTTATGTTTCCTGAAACATTTGTACAGAGCAAGTGTAGTTTCTTCAGCGGTGCTACCTGTCTTGTTCCCACACTCTTCAATTATTTGGTCCCCATTATCAATACCGCTCATCCATTTCTTGAAACCCTCCTTATCGATGTCACCGTTCGGTTTTTGGATTCCCACTTTCATGTTAATGCACAGGGCGTGCTTAGCCAACTTGGTTTCATCGACAGGTTCGTCTTTGTAGAATTTTTCAATCAAATCTTCATCCACCTTGGTTGCAGGATCGACTTGGCATTCAACGTGTGCTTTCTTGAGTTTATCAATTCTTTCTTGCCAGGTGGTGTCATCTGCTGTGACCTGAGAAACACATGATGATCGGAAAGAGCTCGAAGAAGAATATCATTGAGAATCGAGAGGTCATTTTCCCACCCCATGGCGCTTGATCTATATAGGATTCAGTCATCTGAGTCGATCTATCTTGCAGTGGAGTGAAGATGATATGGCAGGGAGATAATCTTACAGTCAACTCCATCAAAATATAACTTGTTTTGGTTGAGTTGACTGTAAGATTTTCTCCCTGCCCTATTATAGGATTCATTGCATTGGAAACACAGGTATACAGGGTGTTTCTCAAAGTCTGTACAAAATGACAACATGGACTCCTGAGACCAATGTAAGATGATTAAACCGAACTAACCTACCTCTAAACCAGACCGCTCTGCACGCTCCGTGAAGCCGCGACAGGGCGATGAAATTAAATTATTATTTTTCATCTTTATGTTTCATCAAGTCTTTTGAATTATTGGAGGAATGTGTGCCACATATTGATTCTCAAAATTTCAAGAGATGAGAAAGTAAAGCATTTAATGGAGGAATAGAAAACAATATTGAGATCTGTTCAGTGGCGTACTCAGAAGAACTCATATTAATTTTTCCATCAACAGTTTACCAAATATGTAACATTATGTGTGTCGATCGGAATGGTATAGGATGTTTTTAAATTTCAGAACGATATTCATAGACAGTATCGAAATATGCGGAAAAATTTAAATATAAAATTCAAGCTTCTGGGTGTATGATAAATTGACATTCATCATACAGGGCGTGGAAAGAAATTCTGAATTGAGACTCTATCATGAATCTGCGATTAGTGGTCTATAAAAATCACAAGTTTCCATCTTTCAAGTTTGAACCCCCCCATTGGGTATGGAAGGCTTGAAAAGGAATATTCTCAGATAAATTATGAACATACAAAAATGGATATATATTTATATAAAGCAATACATTGAGAAATCGCATTCTCTATGTGATGAGAATATCAGCTCTTTTTCAGTTTATTCTATAAAAAACAACTACTTTCCTGGCTATATGCCACGACAAACATTGAATTATATTTATTGGTTTGATACAATAGTAGTGTACCTACGTATGCACGGGACCACACATAGGGAAATCAATGTGTTAGACAAAGAGCATGGGCTGGATAGTGAATCCGACAGAGATAGCGATATGGTTGGCTATAGCTATTGACGTCTAACCTAACCTATCTCCGTTTTAGCCCACGTCAGCATCTTACATATGACAGGTGTCAAAAATAATAGGTACTACAGTACCTTCGACCGAGACCCTCCACCGTGACCTTTCGTCGTGACCTTTGACCGTTGAATTTGACATTTGAGCATGACCTTTAATCGTGACCTTAGACCTTCGACCGAGACCTCTGATTATGACCTTCGATCGTGACCTTTGATCGTGACCTTTGACCATTGCCTTCGACCTTTGAGCGTGACCTTTAATCGTGACCTTGGTCTGTGACCTTTGGTCTACCTTCGACCTCAGACCTTCGATCGAGACCTTCGATTGTGACCTTTGATTGTTACCTTTGATTGTGACCTTTGATTGTGACCTTTGATTGTGATCATTGACATTAAACCGTAACCTTCGGCCTTGATATGTTACCTTCGACGTTTAAACGCAAGCATTGACTAACGATCTTCGATACATGACGGTAGTTTCATGTTGATCTTATGACTTTGTTTCCACAAAGGCCTTGGCCTCATATGATCTTATGACCTTGGTATAATATCGGTCTCGAGTTGTTTCTCTCACGGTCCCAAGACTCAAGACTCTAGACTCTCAGTTCAGCCCTCTCTGGTCACGTGACATATAACCAAAATGGTCGAAGTCATTTTATTCGATCCCATGGGTCGGCTAGTTATTACGCCACTGAGAGCGTTTCTTGAAATTCCAGCTGACATCGCGATGCAATACATGAGAACAATGGGTCCATTGTTTGCAGGTGGCCGATGAGACATACTTATCTCGACTTCGTAGAACAATGCCGCCTTTGTTTGCCATATGTTATCTAGCCTTCCTCTATTGGGAAATTGCGACGCAATATACGAGAACAATGCCGCCTTTGTTTGCAGGTGTCCGATTACGTAACAACCTCATCCGATTGCATCATCCTTATCTGTGTGAGAAAAATGGATCCATTGTTCTGACGCAGGTGGCCGATGAGTCATTCAATAATGCTCGCTAGGAGACATCCTGAAACAGTACCTCTATCTACTTCCTGTCGACACTGATTGTCAGCGTTTCTTGGAATTTCGTCGAGTCAGCTATTGGGAAATTTGCCTCAAGAACAATACCTTCGTTGTTTGCAGGTGGTCGATGACGTCACAACCTCAAGCCCTATATAAGGCGGTCAGAACGTTCGTAGGCGTCATTCCATTCTGAACTTTGACAGTGGTCGGTCGATCTGTTCCTGTATTAATCGGTTGCTCCTGTCTGTTCGGTTGTTCCTGTCTGTTTCATTATATTTTGTGTGGGTCGTGCCAGCTGAAAGGTGAGTTCTTTATTCATTACGTTTCAAGGCCATGTGGTCAACCCTATTTGTGACTAGTGATCATTCCACCCAATACTAGAAGTAGTAAGTTTCTTATCAGATGGATGTTTCAGTTATTAACGCTCAAGCTGCTGCCTTCAAGCCAACTGTCGTACTAAGTAGCTTGCTCATCAAACAGCCCCACCCCATTGAAAATATCAGGGTGATCCAGACGCTATTGTGGTTGAACTTGAAGCATCTAACGTCTTTCTGCCAAGCAGGGTAGTTGGCATCTTCAAGCCTCAGCTTCCGGCTTTCACCCCAGGCAAATAAAGCCTGATTCACAAGAGGAGTGACACCAGACCTAAAGCCCTCCTTGAGATTATCGAAAATTAGTGGTGAGTGAAATATTATTTTCCGTTTGATATTTCTCGCAACATGAATGTCAATAGTATTGCTTCCGCTAGTGATGCCGTTGTTGAGGAATGTAGAAGAGCAATGGAAATTTTGAGAAAGAAGACGAACATATCTGCAGAAGAGAGACTGTTATGGAATAGGCAAATAGGGACGCATATAAGAGAATTCAATAGGGCAATCAGGGGGACCAATTCGACAGCAGGGGTTTTGAGAAAATTAGAAACAAATGTGGGGCATTTGAAACGTTTTCAAAGTTTGATTAGGAAGAAGAATCATATTGGGGCGGGACTTGGCAATCGTAAATATAGAGTTACATGGAGACTTGTTCAATCTGTTTTTGAGAGTAGAGTAAGGACGGCTGTTATAATCAATTTAAGTCATAAGGAGTTGATGCAATTTTTGCAGGACGCATCGCATATTTTCAAAATTCAAATTAGAAAAATATTGAGGGAATTAACCATGCTCAAAGTCAACACCACCTTCTGTGGTGAGTTTATCAAGAAATCGGATGACGCGGAGATTATTGAATTCAAATATTTCAGTACGAAGAATGCTACAATGGATGAGGGAACGGATTTAGATTGTTGGTTCACGGAAAATGTGATTGATGCCATAGTGAATAAACTTTCAGAATTCCAGGAGAAGGGTAGTGGCTGGGCCTTGAGGGAAATTGTCTCTTTAGAGGTTAATGTTAATAAATTAGAAATTGGCAATGGTTCATCATTCATTGGATTACCTGACCAAATTTCCAAGAAGCAAGCCTGCATCAATGTGAAAAACACTGATGAGGCATGCTTCTTCTGGAGTATCGTGAGCGCTTTACATCCTGCTAACCGTAAGGTAGACAGGCCCAGCTCGTATCCTCATTACAGCCAAGTTTTAAATACCGCAGGCTTGGATGTACCCATCACTCTCAACAATATTCCTAAATTTGAAAAACTCAATGATATTTCGGTGAACGTTTACGCCTTGGAACTGATTCATGTTAGAATGGCAGAGCATTTTGAAGTAGTACCCATAAAACTCACGAAACATAAGCAGCCCAGACATGTCAATCTACTTCTCATTCAAAGTGAATATTTCCCCAAGCCCAACGATCATGATGTCTTGCCTGAAGATGATTACGACGAAGACCTCAGGTATCATTATTGTTGGATTAAAGACATGTCCAGACTGCTATCTTCACAACTAAGTAAGAATAAATCAAAAAAACATTTCTGTGATAGGTGTCTAAATTATTTTTCAAGCGAATCCAAATTGGCAGATCACAGTGTTGTATGCGAGAATGTCAACGACTGCAAAATTTCTTTCCCCAAATACGATTCAGTTGTTTTCAAAAATCATATATATAAGCAAAAGGCCGAATTCATCATCTACGGTGATTTTGAATCGGTTTTGGAGCACTGTGATGACAAAATCTCTCAAAAAATGTCGAAATATCAAAAACATACAGCCTTCAGCGCAGGGTACTATTTCAAATGCTCATATGATGATAGCTTGTCCTATTACAAGAGTCATCGAGGTCCTGATTGCATGGATTGGTTTGCCACAGAAATGGCAGATGTCGCGAAATTTGTACAGTCTAAAATCAAAGACATTATTCCTCTGACTCATTTCCCAGATAAGGTTGGTGTAACACACTGCCATATCTGTGAAAAGGCGTTTGCGGGCACTGATATCATCGTAAAAGACCACCATCATTTCACTGGTGCCTTCAGGGGGTGGGCACATCAATCTTGTAATTTGGGGTACCGCAAGTCCTTCGTAGTGCCCATAGTGTTCCACAATTTTTCTGGATATGATTCTCATTTCCTTCTGAGAGAGATTGCCAAACGTGGACAGGTGAGCGTACTTCCGATAAATATGGGGAAATACATTTCCTTCACCCAACACAACTCTGAAACCGGTATTAAATTCAGATTCATCGACTCTTTGAGATTCCTGGGTGCCAGTTTAGACGAATTGGCATCCAATTTAACGAAAGATAGCTTCCAAAATTTGAGAAAAGAATTCAACCAATTAGACGCATTTAAATTCGATCTACTCACAAAGAAAGGTGTTTTTCCATATGACCACATCAATAGTCCGAGCAAATTAGACGAAACTGAACTTCCACCCATTGAGAACTTTTATAATAAATTGAACGATGAACATATCGATGATGTGAAGTACGCTCATGCTCAAAACGTATGGCAACAATTTGAATGTCAAAATTTAGGTGAATACTCGGATTTATACATGAAAACAGATATACTTCTTCTGGCAGATGTTTTCGAACAATTCAGAGAAGCTGCTTTGAGGACTTATACCTTAGATCCGGCTTGGTATTACACCCTTCCAGGTTATACGTGGGATTGCATGCTGAAGTACACGAAATGTTCGTTACAAATTTTAAAAGATGTTGACATGCTGATGTTTGTCGAAAAGGCGATAAGAGGCGGTATTTCGGTTTGTTGTAACCGCTATTCTGAAGCCAACCATAAGTACACTTCAACATATGATCCTACTAAACCACCAAAGCATCTTCTCTACTTGGACGTTAACAATCTATATGGATGGGCAATGTCAAAGCCCCTCCCTTATGGAGGGTTTGAATGGACCAATGCCAACATTGACGTCACATTGATTCCTGACGATGCGTCAGAAGGATATATCTTACAAGTAGATTTGGAATATCCGGAAAACTTGCACGATCTACATAAAGACTTTCCGTTCTGTGCCGAACACCGCAAGCCACCTGGTTCCAAGTTGGCAAAATTGATGACCACGTTACACCATAAAAAGGAATACATCATCCATTATGTTAATTTGAAACAAGCACTGGCAAATGGCTTAAAGCTCACCAAAATTCACAGAGTAGCGAAATTCGAACAGTCCACGTGGTTGAAGCCCTACATTGATCTGAATACTGGATTGAGGGCTGCAGCCACCAACACATTCGAAAAAAACCTATATAAACTTATGAATAATGCCGTGTTTGGAAAGACGATGGAAAACATCCGTAAACATCGCGTCGTCAAATTATGTAGATCGTGGAATGGACGCTATGGGGCTAAAAATATGATAGCCAGCTCAAAGTTTCGTGGCCGGACGATTTTGGGTGACGATCTGATTGCTATCGAATTGGCAAAATCTGAAATAGTCTTCAACAAACCCCTATACATAGGGATGGCTATCTTGGATTTATCCAAGACGTGCATGTATAATTTCCATTACGATTTCATGCTTCCAACAATGGGGGTAGATAAATGTAAGTTAATGTATACAGACACCGATAGTTTTATCTACGAACTTGGCTGTGATGATGTATATGCGGAACTTATAAAAAATAACTTGTCCAAATTCGACACATCCGACTACCCTTCTGACAACCCGTATGGGATTCCGCAAGTGAATAAAAAGGTCTTGGGAATGATGAAGGATGAGGCAAATTCGAAAATAATAACACACTTTGTAGGCTTACGTTCAAAAATGTATGCCTACAAAGTGCAGGGGGGTAAAGTCACCAAAAAATCCAAAGGGGTTAAATTTAATGTGGTTAGGAATAAGATATCCTTCAATGATTATGTAGCTTGCTTGAAAGACTTCAAGGAGCAGACAGTCACACAGCGGACAATCCGTTCCTTCAACCATCAAGTATTCAGTATTGAACAGTCAAAAATTGCGCTAAGTCCTTATGACACCAAGAGACACCTACTTCCAAATTGTTATGACACCCTGCCTTTCGGACATTCCTCCATAGCTGACATATGATTCTCCCTCCATATACATTCCTCAACAATATCACCTTCAGGTTCTGAGAAATGTCAACTGATAATATTTTACCTCCACCACTGATTTTTTCAATCTAGTTGTATATATGCTCACTATTTTTTACTCTATACACTTTATTCATTATATGTTGTAGATTTTGTATTTTAGTTTTTGTATACACTATGTATTTTTCACTATGTTCAATAAAAGTTTCTTGAAAATTTGGTTGTTTCATTGCTGCAAATGAATGAACCTGCTTCAAAACGTGAAAAACGTCAAAAAAAACGTTGAAAAAACGTCCAAAAACGTCAAAAACGTCGAAAACGTCACGTTTTTCACGTTTCTAACGAATCAACGTTCAAAATGAACCTGCTACAAAACGTCAAAAACTTGAGAAACGTAAAAAACGTCAAAAACGTCGAAAACGTCACAAAAGTCGAAAAAACGTCGAAAACGTCACAAAAATCAAAAAAACGTCGAAAAACGTCAAAAACGTCGAAAAACGTCGAAAAACGACGAAAAACGTCGAAAAAACGTCAAATACGTCGAAAACGTCACGTTTCTAACGAATCAACGTTCAGAATAAACCTGCTACAAAACGTCAAAAACATCATTCCATTCTCGGGAAATTTCCCCATGAGATAGGGTGAAAAATCGTGAAACAGCATGGAAAAACGTGACGATATCGTGACGCAACCATCACACTTAGTGCGTCGTACGCGTTATGCGTTATACATTCGTTAAACAGACGTCGAATATTATTTTTCGAAAACATCAAACGTGAGTTGCAAGCATCGAAAATACGTCAAATGCGACAAACTTACCTCGAAAAGGCCAATATACATTCAAAACTCACAACAAACTGATAAATGACGTCACAAAACGAAATCATACGATGAAGAAAAATTTTAAAGGCGATAGGAGCAGAATAAATAGGGTGTGTGAGAGAACGATTCATGATGAGTGGCGGATATATGACAAATGCTTACATCCTACCGACACTGACTTGCTTAATAGCTCAATATAGGATAGGTCGAAGAATTGATCGATGAGATTGGTGAGGATTGATATTATACCGCTCTCTGGACACATCCAAGTTACGGAAGGTTAGACACATCCGATTCAGGATGGGTAGGTAGAACGTTCATACACTCACTTTCCTTGTATCTTTTGCAAAACGTTGAAAATGTTTATGGAATTATCAAAAATGTGGGGGGAAAGACGTCAGTAGCGTGCATCGTGCTGCCATCTATGTGATACATATCCTCACTAACACATCAATTTGTTTGATTGACCAAAGAATATCCTGAAGCCTCAAAGTCCCAAGAATTCGAACAGGATAGGTTAGAGAGTAGGCCGACATCATGGGTTGGGTCTGATGCTATATCGATCTGGACTATCCAAGCTACGATAGGTTGGATCTATTTTTTTTTTATGGTGGCTTGTTTGAGATTATCAGAAACGTCAAAAACGTCAATAACGTCAAAAACGTACACATAAAACATGTGTCAAAACATCACCAACGTCAAAAAACGTCGAAAACGTCAAAAACGTCAACATTGCTAACAAAACATCACCAACGTCAAAAAAACGTCAAAAACGTCAAAAAACGTCAAAAAACGTCAAAAAACGTCGAAAAACGTCAAAAAACGTCGAAAAACGTCAAAAACCGTCAAAAAACGTCGAATAACGTCAAAAAACGTCAAAAATCGTCAAAAACCGTCAAAAAACGTCAAAAACCGTCAAAAAACGTCAAAAACCGTCAAAAAACGTCAAAAACGTGACGCTTTTGACGTTTCTCACGCTTTCGACGAATGCATTCGACGTCCTATGAAAAAAAAACATGTGTCAAAACATCACCAACGTCAGAAACGTTGAAAACGTCAAAAACGTCACGTTTTTCACGCTTATGACAAATCAACGTTCAAATGGCGTGTCAAAACATCAAAGACGTACGTCAAACACATCAGATACGTCACGTTTTTCACGCAGCTATGATAGGTTAGACCTATTTTTGTTTGGTCGGTCTAGGAACACCCAAGCTACGATAGGTTAGACCTATAGACACATCCAAGCTACGATAGGTTAGACCTATTTTTGTTTGGTGGCGTGTTTGTATGTTTATCAGACGAGCGGAGCGAGTCTGATAATCACAATTGAGCCACCAAACAAAAATAGGTCTAACCTATCGTAGCTTGGATGTGTCTATAGGTCTAACCTATCGTAGCTTGGGTGTTCCTAGACCGACCAAACAACAATAGGTCTAACCTATCATAGCTGCGTGAAAAACGTGACGTATCTGATGTGTTTGACGTACGTCTTTGATGTTTTGGCACGCCATTTGAACGTTGATTTGTCATAAGCGTGAAAAACGTGACGTTTTTGACGTTTTCTACGTTTCTGACGTTGGTGATGTTTTGACACATGTTTTTTTTTCATAGGACGTCGAATGCATTCGTCGAAAGCGTGAGAAACGTCAAAAGCGTCACGTTTTTGACGTTTTTTGACGGTTTTTGACGTTTTTTGACGGTTTTTGACGTTTTTTGACGGTTTCTGACGATTTTTGACGTTTTTTGACGTTATTCGACGTTTTTTGACGGTTTTTGACGTTTTTCGACGTTATTCGACGTCATTCGACGTTTTTTGACGTTTTTTGACGTTTTTGACGTTTTTTTGATGTTGGTGATGTTTTGTTAGCAATGTTGACGTTTTTGACGTTTTCGACGTTTTTTGACGTTGGTGATGTTTTGACACATGTTTTATGTGTACGTTTTTGACGTTATTGACGTTTTTGACGTTTCTGATAATCTCAAACAAGCCACCATAAAAAAAAAATAGATCCAACCTATCGTAGCTTGGATAGTCCAGATCGATATAGCATCAGACCCAACCCATGATGTCGGCCTACTCTCTAACCTATCCTGTTCGAATTCTTGGGACTTTGAGGCTTCAGGATATTCTTTGGTCAATCAAACAAATTGATGTGTTAGTGAGGATATGTATCACATAGATGGCAGCACGATGCACGCTACTGACGTCTTTCCCCCCACATTTTTGATAATTCCATAAACATTTTCAACGTTTTGCAAAAGATACAAGGAAAGTGAGTGTATGAACGTTCTACCTACCCATCCTGAATCGGATGTGTCTAACCTTCCGTAACTTGGATGTGTCCAGAGAGCGGTATAATATCAATCCTCACCAATCTCATCGATCAATTCTTCGACCTATCCTATATTGAGCTATTAAGCAAGTCAGTGTCGGTAGGATGTAAGCATTTGTCATATATCCGCCACTCATCATGAATCGTTCTCTCACACACCCTATTTATTCTGCTCCTATCGCCTTTAAAATTTTTCTTCATCGT